GGCGGGGAGCGGGTGCAAGGGGGTGCTGCCTGAGACGGGCCTGAAAAACTGCAGTGAAGTAATCTGCTTGTATAGGGTGTTCTCTGATGGCTTCTTTTTTCTGGTGGAAAGGTGTTTGTGCTAGTAAAATAACTGGCATTACTGTTGGCTGTTCCAGTGCTACAAGTTGAGCTAAGGACAGGACTGCTAAGTGAGGAGAGTCCTCTTTTTCTTGTATTGAGAAAACAATTAAACACTACAGTGACAAAGCAAGCCAAAAGTACTGGATCTTTTTGTGCAGGGCTGCTAGTGAGACCTTGCTACTTCCCAAACTCATACGAGCTCCTTTGGGACCATGAGCCTACCATGTGCACTAGCAAGGCCTTCAAACATAAGGGTCTAGCTAAACTACTACAAAATGGTGTGCAGTATGTGTTTGTTACCTCTCCTCTGGGGACCAGCACATGGCAGCTAGTTGTCTTTAATATGGTTTGTTTAAAAAGTGTGTTGTGGTGAAAGAAATGACAGGAAAGATTTCCTCTTTTTGTATGGACTTCCTAGAGTGGTGTCATCAACCTGAAGATGGCAACGCTAATCCTTCTTGATAAGGAGAATGGTGAAGTTGGTGCCACTAAGAATCAGCTAAGATTCCCATCAGGATCTTGTGAGTATATGCTGCCCTAAGCCAGCAGGGGATCAAGTGAAGTGCAAAAATCACATGTTGTTTTTCACTGTTTAAACAGTGAAAAACTTTTCTGTTCTTATATCTGCTTACCTAACCAATTCTGCTAAGCTCATCAATTACTATAAAAATGAAAATAACTCTGTGCTTTTTGTTTTGAGGCATATATGGTTATAAATGGTGAACAATGATTTTTGTGGCAACTAGTTTCCTAGCACATGCGCTTACTGAAGCAAATTTTAGGGTTGATGTGGTGCTAAAGTTTGGATTTTTTTCTTCCCTACTCTCTCAAGCAAAAGTCTTATCTGAAAGAACCCAAGTTAACACTCCACTTCCCAAAAAAACAATTGGTACATCTCCAGCCACTTCTCACTCTGTCAGAAAGGCTCTTGGAAATGTGAACAGAACTGAAGGAGTCACGAGCAAGCTCGAGAAGGTAAGACAGAAAAGTCAGCCTTGCGCTGCAAGCACAGTGAGTACAGCGTACTTCTGGGGGGGAAATATATGCATTGTTTACTTACTGTTATGGCTTAACCCTGGCAGGTGGCTAAGCACCACACAGCTGGTTGCTCACTCCCTTTCAGTGGGATGGGGGAGAGAACTGGATGGGTAAAAGTGGAAAATACTCATGGGTTGAGATTAAGACAATTTAATAATTAAATCTCAAAGAAAAACAAAACCCATTTCTCATGACCAGCTGACTGATGCCTTGCCAGTCCCTGAGCAGTGGCAGCCTGGGCGAACTTCCTCACCGGTTTCCATTGCGGAGCATATCATATGGTATGGAGTATCCCTTTGGTCAGCTGGGCTTGGCTGTCCTGGCTGTGCCCCCTCCCAAGTTCTTGTGCACCCCCAGCCTGCTCCCTGGTCTGGTAGTGAGAAGCCGAAAAGGCCTTGATGCTGTATAAGCACTGCTCAGTGATAGCGAAACAGCCGTATGTTATCAACACTGTTTACATCATGAATCCAAAATGTGGTATCATATCAACTGCTAGGAAGAAAAATAACTCTCTCCTAGCTAAAACCAGTACACCTGTGGAGGCACAAGGAGAACAGCAGCTTGGCGGGGACCTAATGGCAAAGATGTGTCTCCAAAGAAAATAGTCTGAGTTAATGTCTTGTTTGCATGTTAAGTATCAGGATTTTAATATTATAAGCATAAACATTCTAGTGCTGTGACTTGTTGCCACCGTATATAGTACTGCACTACATAAACCCAACTGAAGTATTTGCCTGTCTCCAGCTCATTTGTGCTGAAGGTATTATACTTTATGTGTAACTGGGGACTGTATGGTAGGCATTCTGGTCTAGACCTGTATAGCACAGGAAAGTGACTACAATGGGGAACTACAGTAGCTCAATGTGACTTTCTCTTTAAGACCACTGAAAAAACTGCTGGGTTAGAAAGCTGTGATGCAGTGGCTGAAGATGACTGGCCGGAAATAGAAAACATGTTTCCTTTTGATCCTTGGGGTAAGAACTATTGGTGTAATTATTAAAATGAAGAATCAAGCTTTCGTGAGTATTGACATTGTAAGACTTTGGCTGAGCTATTGTGGCAAACAAGCTAGCATTGCATTTCTCAAGAGTCCTTTCTTATATTTAAGGCTGCTCACTACTTCTGAAATAACATCTCATTCTTGTTTAAGTATTTCTGTGATAGTTGTGCTCCGCGTATGTAGTGGTCTGAGTCATTATGGTGGCAGGAAACTAGTTCCAAATAACCTTGCTATAGCCTCTTAATTCATAGCAATGGGTAGACAGATATTCAAAGGAATACTTAAGGAGTACTGAAAAGTAGACCTCACAAGAGTGGATGCCAAGGTGGTAATTGGTAATTGAGGAGATTCCTACTGCTGTAGGATGTAATAGTTGAAGGTGGGACTTCTAAAGCTGTTCTTAGAATATCTACAATGGGCTGTGCTATCTCAGTCCTTCAAAGTGTGTCCTTAAACCATCCAGTTCACAGGGAAGTATGTGTGCAAAAACTAGTATACTGAAGACTACTTCAGTGTTGGTGAAACATATGGTCTGCTTGATGAAGTTGACTTAGTGATTGGAAAGAAATTACTAAAAGCTCCTGCTTTACATCAGCAGTTATGTTATTAGCAGATGATCTCAGAGGTCTCTTCCAACCTAACGATTCTATGAATGATTCTGTTATGCAGTCTAGTCTTTCGATAAGTGTTAGTGTATGGGATTTCATAGACAATTAAGATGTAACTGCGAGTTAACACCCCATAAGGCAGGGACTGTTGGATTGTGTTTTGTACCTCCTCCCACTTCATTTAATCTAGGAGAATTTGTATCTTCCCAGGCTACTGCTACTGTACACTGTTACTGAACTGCAGTGTGTCTTTCTCAAACAGACTTTGAGAGTTTTGATCTTCCTGAAGAGCACAAAGTAAGCAATATCAACCTGTGTGGTGTTCCCCTCGTGATATTTGAAAGGACATGTGACAGATGTGTGAACATGGTTCCTTCACCTGTGAAGACTGAAGAGATTTTGTGGGAGTCTGGTAAGTGGAGACTTAGCATGAGTTTTGATACATACAATGCTCATCAGTGGTTTGAGAGGGAAGCTATCTGGCTGCAATAGTGAACTGCCACTGCTGTCCTAACTGCGAGTAGCACACTAGTATCAAAAGCTGGTGTATAGTCAATCTGAATTTAGCTGGTACAGGTTGTGGTCTCAAAAGTGGTGTTGCTGAGCAATTCCTTGCAGTGCGTTGCTAACTGATCAGTTAGGTGGAATTGGCTTGTGCAATCAAACAGTATTTCCCTTAGTCATTCTTAGTCATTGAAAAGGCTTATGCTAGTTCACTGGGAGCTTAAGTTCGGGAGCATGAATTATTGTGGGTTTCGTGAGAAACTGATTTGCTCTACTTCTAACTTTCAGATTTGCTACAATCAGCTGCTGATTTTCTTGCTACCCTGGATGAGATCATTGACATGCCACCTCTGAATGATGACCATTAATATGTTCTGAAGCTTCCATTGAGTTCAAACTTAATGTAGGTTCTGTATTTTAATAAAGGCTAATCTAACCTGTATAATACTGGATTTTTCTCTCTTTTCAGTAGACCCAAGATATAGATAGCCTTCTTTTCAAAGCACTATTTTACTATGTGACAAGCAATTAAAACAGAGCCTGTGTAAGCCTGTAAGCAAGACTAGACACACTGTTGTGAGCTGTATCTAGGAGTTAGTACCTGCTGGTTAGACTTTGTAGTCATGATAGGTTAAGGGGCCCTTCTGACCTCACTGTTTACATAACTATCCTTTATCTGTTAAACATGCAAGAGTTTAAAACTAATCCATGTATCTAGTGTAAATGGTGTACTTGAGATAGTACTCTTCTGATATTTTTTCCTTTCTTGAACTTGTTTACTCTTAACAATGGTTGTCTAAGATGGTATATGTTGGGTTCTTCTGCAGCTGTAGACTGCTTTTCATTGTCACTGCGTTATGTGGCTCTCACTGCTGGGTATTGTCTGTCCTCTGTGAGGAAAGGCTGGTGGAACCCTATCCAAATTCTGAGCACACAGGTTCAATCTTTTCCCTTGCATTGTAATGGCCTCAACTCCAGTTCTTCATCATGTAAGATAAGTCAGTTGTAGAGGTGGTCACCCTTCACTTAAGTTAAACTGCTTTTACATTTGCTGGGTGGTACTCGGATCTGGTTGGACTGGTGGCGGGTCAGGCTGTTGTAGCTTTTGGCTCATCCTTAACATGAACCACAGTGCTGTGACTATTCTGCTCAGCTGCTGAGGTAGACGGCTTTTCTGTTCTTTCATGATGCACCTGAGTTCTGGAATTGTCGTGTCAGATTTACTGTTAGTGCGCTGTGGCACTGTAACAGCAAACAGTGGCCAAAGCAGCTTTTCCCCTGCTTTAATGATTGCAAGTTGACTAAAAGATGGAAATGCTCTAGCTAAGGAATGGGGTTAATTTGGTGTGGGTCAGTGCTGCATCCCACAGTTGTGCTGCTTGGAGGCGTACCATGGCTGCAACCCAACTGCATGTGAAGATGAAAGGTGAATAATGTGTAACCATCCTCCTCTCATGCTCTTGTTTCCAGGAAACCTAAAAATGCAGGTGGTGAAGGAGCCCTTGTGTTTTCCAATAGGCTATCTGGTTCACAGATGCTGAAGGGAATGTATTTGCCCTGCTGTGATGACATAAGTAATGAATGGCTCCTTTTAGGCTGAAAAGGGTAACAGGCAGAGCAGAGAATACTAGTTCTCACTGCTTCCTGGTTTTGGATGCTTCAAGACATGATTTGCTTCCCTAATGCTTTTTGTTCATCAGGAAGTAGATGGGCCTTTTGTGAATTCTGACCTTCAATCTGTTAGGGCTAGAAATTTGCTGTTGCTGTTTCTGAATTATTAGACAACCGATGATGCAAAAGGAGTCACTTGTTCTGTTTCTTCCTCAAACTTGTCAGGGTATCAGCCAAAGTGTTAAATTGTAATGAATAGCACAATAGCTGGTCTTTGTTTTGTTTATTGTCTTTGGTTTGAAACTGCAAAGAATTCAGAGGAATACCAAACTACACAGGAAAAGATATGATTAAGTAAATTCTATATAGAGACTTCATGTTTTGGCTGATCAATTAATTGCACTTTAATTTTTTGGTTCTGAAATAACTTGGCTGTCTCAGCTGAGATTGAAGTTTGATAGGTATAGTCTACCAGCCCCAGGAGTTATGCTGTAGTAACTATAAACTAAAGTGACAAAATGCATCTTCCTTTGACTTTGTCTTTACCTGTTCAAACAAGCTGGGAGAAAACAGTCCAAGCCTGACTTTACAGAAAAATGCCTGTTGCTAGGGCACTGAAACTGGTTACACAGTGCCATCCCGTGGCTGCTTGTTATGCAGCTGCACAGCCGTTGGCATGTGAAACACCAGATAACATGGTATGAGATACGCTAAGGATGTGGCACTTATCAACACAAACGTAGGTTGTAACTTTTTGTATGTGCAAATAGACATCTTCTCTGGAGAGAGACACTAGTGCTTTGTTATGGAAGTTTATCATGGTAAAAATTTATTTTTTATTGATTTAAGAAAGTCATTGTTATCAAGCACCTAGCTCTATTATTCAAACTTCCAGAAATAAGCTTTTTGTGCCATGTCCACACATGTATATACAAGTGCACATGTTAAAACACTTAAAACATTCTTGCTAGTTGTACACTTTCATACCAAAATGGATAAGCACTTGTGTAATGTTGTAAAGGTGATAATAAAATGATTCGGGTGGGCCTCTTAGAACTGATAGACTTTAATCTTGAAGTCCAAAAACTCATTACTTGTGGGGGCAATGGAATGGGTGTGCAGAAAGTACAGTGTGAGTTACACTTACAAATACTGCTGGTTTGTCAGTGTAAGAATGAGTGCTGCTGCAGTGTGGAACATAAGGTAATGCTAGAATAAACAATGATTTCACACTAATGTAATCTTACTTTACTTAAATTATTAAATCCTTTCAAAGTCTAGGGAAAAGAAACAGTCCCAAGTTTTGTCCTTTCCATCACTCAGCCCCTCTCTTTTTTTCTGTAAAATTATGAAAAGGTGTTTTAGGTGCAGAGGAATGTTTTCTGTAGGTTTTGGGTGTTTCATATGACTTTCTATAAATACTGTCTTTTATAGCTGCTGGCAAGCAACACAAACCAGTTAAAGTTAGGCCTGAGCAAGAGGCAAACAAGGCTTTTGGGATTTTATCTGTAAATAGTTGAGGTCAAAAGGTATGTTTCATCATACAGCCCATCTCTGAGCCAGAACAGGAGTGTTGCTAGGAATCCTGTATATGGAATATAAACCTGTGTTCAGCAATGTAATGCAAAAATCAGTTTTCTTAATTAGCTGTAGTGGTAGTATAAATACTTGGTGTTTAAAGATTGATTAGCTTTTTAAAATGTTGGCAATGATCCTTTTGGTTTAAAAGATCAAATTAAATGCTGATGTCCAATTTCAGACACAGTCATGATAAAACCTATAGTTAAGAAGTCTCTATAGCAGATGAATGAAGTTAACTTAGATTTTGGTTAGATGTTAACTCTCAGCACCAAATTTTAGGTGACTGGGAATATTTGTTTCCTACACTAGTGCATCTTATCTGGGGCTTCTTGTTCTCATTGGACTTTCTGGTTAATGCAGGTCCAAGTTTGTTTTTACAAAGCTTTATTTTGTAAACATTCACCAGAAGGATCCATTTGTTTCAGCTGGCTTTTTTCCCCATTTCATGTACTTTTCAGTCAGCTAGCTGGGGTTAAACATACATTTGCATGTTCCTGTGACTTGCAAGAGAACAAAGCTGTGATGAGATTCAATCTGTGGATTGAGCTTCCTGCCTGCAGTGACTCAAGGAGAGCACAGTCACAAAAGCATAGCCTCCTATTTAGGAAATGTAAACTCTTAGCCTCTGAGCTGCAGAACTAGGTGGTGTCAGCCCTTCATAGTGCTGCCTTCCTGAGACATGGGGAGCCTTGTCGCTGGGAATTTTGCACTGGTTCGTGCCATTTCAGTTAGGCATTAACACTGACTTCTATGGGTGACTGAAAAAAATCAACTTCCTTAGCTGTTTTAATGTTGATATAACATATGCATCTTTTGTACTTAAGCTTTATTTTCTGTTGGTGTGTTGTCAGGAATAGATGCGACTAGAGTTCAAAATGGTGTCTGAGCACTACCCTGCACAACAGCAGTCCTGTTTAAAACCACTTGTAGTGTTTTGGTTTATTTGTTTCATCAGTTTACGCTTCCTGCAAAGATCTGAGATATTTGGGGTTTTAAATGCATGGCTGCAATGAAAACAAATACTTGCTTGGTTGGTGGCTTGTTCTCAGATCGAATGAGCCTTAATAGGCCAGTGTAACAGTGTACTGTGATTGGGAAACCTGGATTGTAACCAAGTACACAGAGCAAGTAGCTTTTTAGTTGGTTATTACTCTGTGAAGCATCTTCTTTGACAGCCTTCTGGCTGTGAGAATCACTTTAAATCCTTACCTGAATTTCTGTAAGGAGGACTTGGAGATTCATAGAAAAATAATCTCTTAGCAGGCTGAGTAAAATTACTTCAGTGAGCATCAGATAATTCATCCTATTTGTAATGTTCTGGCAGCGGGTGGCACCATGGTAACAGCATGTATTACAGCTTCTCACTCCTGCAGCCTGACAGCTGTGGTGTGATGATGTTTGCCTTTGGTACATCATGCACAGTGCAGGCGTCCGTAATGGGTTTCATTGCTTCATTAATGTGAAATGGAGGATAAGAGTCAGAGCTAAGGAATTCAGTGTGCCTTTACCCTGTGACTACAGGGAATAGTATATCAGCCAAGGGCATTTTTATCTTTTGTTTAAAAAGAACAGAAATTAGAAGCCTGGAGGCAATTGGTCTCTCTAGGGTTAGCAAAGCCGTGAATCTTGTAACTCTTAGTTTCACTGTAGTTTTATTAGTGTTAGTGAAGTACTGTATAGAAATACAATAATGTCCCTCTAACTGTCCCCAAAGTGGTACTCACTGTTCTCAGACACAGGCGTGGATCAGATCAACATGTCTAATGAGGTTTATATACAATTTATATACACAACATATGTTTAGTAACTGGTTGTTAGGGATCTGACTGCAAGCATGTCTTTTTGCACATAACTTTGCAAAGCATGCAAGAAAAGCATAATTGATAAATTTACCTCTAACTGCAGACTGGGAGAAGTTAAAAGCGTGGTGGGCCCATTGTGCTTGAGTGATCTACAAAATTAGAGGGAAAAGTTATAAAATGGCCCTAATGTGTATTTTCTTGCAGTCAGATTACAAAGAATGCCAGGATGGAAAAGGAGTGTACAAGCAACTTACTGGGGTGGGTGTTTTGTGCTTTTCTAAGAGGTGGGCTAATATCACCCAGTTAATGAAGGTGGAGGGAGGTTCATGGAGCTGAAGGTATACTTCTGGGTCTAGATGTTGGTCTTGAGTGGC